TGTTCCATCTAGCAATTAATCCACCTTGCATTTTATTATTTACTATCATAGAAAATTATTTAGACTTTCTATGTTCTATGAATTATGATTTTATTGTACTTTGTGGTTCGGTGTTATCTGATTCGACCAATAATAATAAGTATTTTAAAATTGCAGACTACAACAAACAGTTTACACCATTAACATAGTTACATTTCAACATTTGATCACTGATTATAATATGAAAATCATGTAATATTTAATATTATTATTATCCGTGAACTGCTGACAAGTGACAAGTGACAAAGTATTATGTCTACCTTCAAGCAATGCAGTTGTTGAAAGGGTATTTTCAATAATGAATGCTATTAAAACCCGATCTAGAAATAGAATGAACTTTTCTATGTTGGATAGCTTATTGAGAATTAGAAGTACTTTTACATCAAAGACTAAATGTTGTATTGAATTTTCACCCACAAAGTCTATGTACGAGAAATTTAATTCCAATATTATGTATTCAAAACATGAAAATGAATCTGTTCCAAGTTTTGAAGATCATTGTACCGATGAAGATAATACTATAGATGTGTTTCATGAAATTACATTATCTGACAACCAATATTAACAAGAAACTTGATACCTACATGTATTATAATATATTACTTATTTTTATTTTTATTTTTTAAAAAGAATATAATGTTATTTTGTATTAATATTGTACTAAGTAGTACAACATATTTTGAAAAGATACTGTATTACCTATATCATATTTTTTATTTTTTTTTTTTAATGATAATAATGTTATTTTTTATTAATATTGTACAAAGTAGTACAAAATATTTTGAAAAGGTATTGTTTATTTTACTTAAAAATTGTTTAAATTATGAAACTATTTAATTATTAACTATTTACAGCTCCTTATTATCGTACTAGTTATTACTCATTACCATCACATGGGTGAATATTGATTACAATGAAATTGACACCGAATAACGAATGTGTCAATACTTTTATTTTAAATTACGAGTCCAACTGTCCAGTTTTAAAAATAAGGGGTAAAATGGTGATGATAAGAGTAGGGATAACAATTTTGGTAATAATTAGAATTTATGGTTGGCGATATTTGGCTACTATAAAAAAATGATTTGGCTACATTATTATTGGTATATCTGGCAACCCTGGTCCGGGATATTGCAGTCCGGAATGCGAAATTTGAAAACATGCTACGTTTAGTCATTTTACTTTTCTCCTTATCATTGATCAAATTTCATCAGTGTTATCAATCATTTTTATCATATTTTTTGAAAGACTGATATTATATTTTTATTTTATATTTTATTATTCATTTTTCATTTATATTTTATATTTTTTCTAGACTAGATTGATTTACAATGAAGGTGACAATAATTAATATATGCTATTATATTTTATATATTTTTATTTATTATACTCGTATTATTATTGTGAATTTTTGAATGTATTATTAATGTTGGTGTTGGTATTATTTTTGTTTAATTTTTTAAAGGTATCTACCTCGAAATTTGAGTAAAAATCTGGTTGTGATTGATGTATAAATGGATTAAAAAATTGTATTCAAAAGTTTTTTTTATATATATGTATAGTATCCAATAAATGTATAGTGGCTTCAACAAGTTTTAGGTAGTACTTTTTACTTATAATTTTTCTCCTGTCCAAATTATATAATATCTACATTAGGTTAGGTTATCATATAATATCATCATATTTTTTGAAAGACTAATATTATATTTTTATTTTATATTTTATTATTCATTTTTCATTTATATTTTATATTTTTTCTAGACTAGATTGATTTACAATGAAGGTGATAATATGGCATATTGTGTTGAAAATAATAAAGCATTAGGAGGTACACACAGTTCAAAATAGCTTGTTACTTTATGTTTTTTTTGTAAATATATATTATTTTTTATTTGACACATTATGCCACAACATTTAGTTTTTTATACTATTTTTTGTGAGTATAATAATTAATATTATTTGAAAATTTTTAGATTTAAAGTAAACGCAGAATATATTGGTGTTACAAATCTGTAGGTTTTTTTTTAGTTTTTTAGTTTTTTATGTAAGTAAATACTTTTTTACCTGCTTTTTTTATACTTATAACATTGGACGTAAATATTTAAACAAAAATTATATTTATATTATATATTAAATTTATACTAAAATTATTTTAATAAAGTAATTACTAATTTTCACAAGTGTATGTACTGACTAGTGAAGGCGGTATTCACTATTCATTATAAAGTAACTATTTACAAAGTACCCTAAATCAATCTAGTATAATAATATCTAATATTTAATAAATGTCATAATTACAATAAATTAACTTACATACATTTTTTCCTTAATTAATAACATCCATATTCACTTCCAAAAATTAATAATAATCAAAATAATAATGTTATATAATAATGTTAATAATAATGTTATATAATACATTAATACCTACCTAAGTTGTTGTTGTTAGTTTTGCTATTTTCTTCTTTGTCTTATTTAGTATTACAAAAATTCACAATAAATATAAATGAAAAATGTAAATAAAAATATAATATCAGTCTTTCAAAAAATATGATAAAAATGATTGATAACACTGATGAAATTTGATCAATGATAAGGAGAAAAGTAAAATGACTAAACGTAGCATGTTTTCAAATTTCGCGTCCGGAATTTTATGTTCCGTCACTTTACGGTCCGTGATATTACGGTCCGGAATCTTACGTTCCGCGATAATACTGTCAGAGATATTACGATCAGAGGTTTTACATTCCGTGATTAAACATTCCAAAATATTACGCTCCGCAAATTTAATTTCCGCAAAATTACGTTCCGCTGAATTATTTTCCGCACTATTATAGCCCCCCGCACAGCTCTTTAAAAAACGATTAAATATTTAAACATGCATAATGTGAATAAACAAAAACACGCATAAATTGTGAATACAAAAATGATATTCACATAACAAGATGAGAACATTAAGGAAGTAAATAATAATTCATAATAAACATTTAAGAAATTAATATAATATTGAAAATAATATAATTTATTAAATAAATACTATTCATTCATTTCATTGTATTGATTAGTACATATTTGACACTTACTTCACATGATAGACCAGTATAACCTGCTGGACATTGGCACTCCTCAACAAATGCTACATAGTCATTTACACTTTTCATTGTTTGTGCAGAATCCATTTTTATGTGTTTTATGTTTGTTTCAGATTGTTGAGAAACATACTGACCCCTTTTGAGCAATCAATATAATATATTACATCAACAATTTAATGGAAAAAATATATTAATGGGATAGATACCTGATTAAAATATTTTCTACATTAGCTGAAACCATCATAACTTCTTCCCTGGTTGCTAGTCCATTAGAATAACTGTCGGTACTTTCTTTTTTCCAAACATCAACAAATAATCTAGCTGATACAACTGTGTCTATGCCTACTGGTGTTTCTGGACCAAAGTACAGAAGTTTAACACCATTTCCCTAATGAAAATGTTAAGCATCATGCATTGTTCATTAAAACGTATGAATTAAAAATTAAATTCCTTACAGTCAAAATAATGTCTGGTGTGAATGTAATTGGATCTCCGTTTCCCTCGTACCTAACTATGTATGTTATGTATCCCCCATAAGATTTGAGCTGATTGCCTAAATAGCTTTTTGGGAATTTGAAGTATGGATATGTGTCTTCGGATTGCTTTGAAGTATTATTGACTGTAAACACTTGTAAAGCTTCATTTCCATTAACATTTATTTGATGAGCAGTAGAACTTGCTGATTGTAGTTCTACTCCAAATGAAGAAGCTTCTATATAAACATTAGCTATTCTAAGTTGATACAATGATGGTGTATTCTAGAAGAAACAAAATATTAGATTTGATTAATCCGAATAAACCCAAAGTGAGATTTTCAAACCTGAATCTTGAAGAGTTTGGAGCTTCTGCAATTACTTGATATTCCAAAACAAAAACAGTTTATACAATCATTTTGAGATAAAGCTACATCATTAAAGGTTCCTTTAGGACATGCGCTTGGTTGAACTAAATTAGGTCGTTTTACAACTAATATTGTGTCTGGTACTGCTATTTCGGAACCATGTATATTGATACCTTCACAACTGTAAGCACCTTGATCAGCTTCCTAAAATCCATAAAATAGGTGCACATAAGTTTAAACTAAGTATAAAACAAAAGTGTATGCAATAATTTGTTTAACATTATAAACATTATACCTGAATATTAGGACAAGTGAGTGTACCAAGTCCATTAACACAATTCATTTCACATTTTGTTGGAACATGACCCCAGTTCAATCGCCATGATATTTCTGGGATTGGTACACCAACAGCTTTGCATGTTGTTATGAACACTTCACCGATTTCAAGTGTTATCAAAGGAGGTGGTGTAGTTTGAAATTGTACAGGAAGTAAATTAAAATTAAAATCATTAAAATAAAGTAGTGTGACCAATGTATACACATTATTCTACTTACGACAACCAATTTCATCACTTCCATCTGAACAATCACTTTGAGAATCAAATTGGAATGATTTTGGAATGCACTCTTTATTTCTGCACTCAAATTCACTATACAAACAGCAAGAATCTAGAAGGTGATAAAAAAATCGTCACATATAAATAATTATAATTTATAATTTTACAATATCTACCTAGGTACAGACATAGGTCGGTAGGTATATTACGTAAAAAAAATTATATATTTATTAATATTCATTACGCACCCGATACTCTTTGTTCACAGTTCTGGTCATCAAAATTATCACCACAATCATCTTAACCATCACACACCCAAGTTTTGAGTATACATTTTTTATTACTACATCTAAACTCGTTGGGTTGACATCCAAACATATCTAAAAATGACAGTTATCAACGTATAGGTATTAGTATTTTTAACCAAATGTTTAATTAAATCTAAACATACTGCAACGGGTTTCATCTGATCCATCTAAACAATCTATTTGACCGTCACAAACTTTTGTCTTTAATATACA